GAGTTTACAATCTAATGAAGGGAATATGAACTTTTTGGTCTTAACCTAAGATCTTATGTGGAATTTTTCTGTGACTCATTTCTGGTAGAAGCTAAAAGACAACATTAGTTGTTTGAATATGAGAGAGAGAGAGAGAGAGAGAGAGAGAGAGAGAGGGAGAGAGAGTGTTTATTCAAGTGAGCATAGTTGTTTGAATATGAGAGAGAGAGAGAGAGAGAGAGAGAGAGAGAGAGGAGAGAGAGTGTTTATTCAAGTGAGCAAAGATTGTACTTGGGCCTTATACATGCTTGAAGTTCTCTACCGTCAGCTATATTCCTAGTTCATTGATTAGAACTTGATGTGTTGCCTATTCAAATGATGATTTTTTTTTTTTTTTAATATTTAGGCCAGGTGTGGTGGTACGTATCTTTAATCCTAGCTCTCTGGAGGCAGAGGCAGGGTGATCCCTCTGAATTTGAGGCCAGCCTGGTCTATGTAATAAGTTCTAGGAAAGCCAGGGCTACACAATAAGACCTTATCTCTGAAAACAAATAAAGAATGGTTGGAGGCTGGTGAGAGATAGTGCAGCAGTTACAAACAGTACTTGCTTTTAGAGGCCCAAGTTCTATTCCCAGCACCCACCATGTTAGGTGGCTCAGAGCTGCCTATATCCAGAGAACCTAAGGCCTCCATCATTTGAGGCCACCTAAACATACTTATATACACACATGCACACAAATAAAAAAAAATCCTGTAAAACTGCAGTTGCCAATTAAAGACATAGTGTTTGTTGGCCTGAGGGTGTAGATAAGTTGGTAGAGTGGGTGCCTAGAATATAGATGCCTTGCGTCTGAATGCCTGTAATCCTGGGTTTCATGAAGGCAGGTTCTAGGTTCCTCCACTACATGAGTTTGAGTCCAGCTGTGACTACATGAGGCTGTATTTCAAAATTTAAAAACAAAAATTGTTTGCACGGCTTGCTTTTTTTTGTTTGTTTGTTTGTTTTGATATACCCTAGACTGGTCCTGGAAGTTGCTGAGTAGCTAAGGATGACCTTGAATTCTTCATCATCCTGCTATCACCTTCCAGATGCTCGGATCACAGACTTATTTTGTCATACCCAGTAATCAAGGGAGGTTTGCTTTTTGTATATTTGAGACAGGATTATAGGGAAAATAATTACAGGCTGACCTGTGGTGACTTTGGTGTGTATGTTAAGTAACTTAAAATAAAACATGACAAATATGCAAGAAATGTAAATGTTAATATTGTTCACATACATACACATACAAGGAAAACACTCATCATACATGTAAAATATAAATAAATTTTTAAAAATGGTGATAATTAGTAATTAAGTTCAGGAACCAGGTATAGTGAAGAATGTCTTTAATCCCAGCACTCAGTAGATAAGGGTAGGTAGACAGTTTGAGTTCCAGGACAGTCAGGGGATACACAGAAAAAAACCTATATCCAAAAACAAATAAATAAATAAATAAAGTTCAAAGATCCTAAAAATCTCCCAAAGAAACTCAGAGCTGATTTAAAAAAAAAAAAAAAAAACAAAACAAAACAGCAAGAGAAGTATCTGGATAAAATCAACGGGCAGGGTAGGGTGTGGTGGAACACACCTTAAAATTCCAGCACTCAGGAAGGAGAGGCAGGAAGATCTGAGGTCCAGGCCAGTCTGGTCTGTATAGCAAGTTCCATCCAGGGCTGCACAGTGAGATTGTCAAAAAAAAAAAAAAAAAAAAAACCTCAAATACTAGGATAAACCCAACCAAAGGAAAGACAAGATGTCTATAATGAAAACTTTAGAACATGGAAGACCCTGAGGCAATCAAGATCACTCTTGTGGGGAAAGGCTCTTGCTGTGCAAACCTAGTGGCCTCAGTTGACCCTCTGGGTACAGGGAAATGCACACAGAGAGGACAGCTCTACATAGTCCTTCTCACTTTCACTCATGCACTGTGGTACCCTCTGCCTCCTAAGAATAATGCAGAAATCACATGAATTGGCAGACTTAGTATTGTGGAAATGACTGTATTACCAAACATGATCTACAGACTCAATGAAGTCATCCTAGGAATTCCAATGGCATTTTTCCCAGAACATGAAAAAAATTCTGGAATTGCTCTGAGCACAAAAGAAATTAATCATAAGCAGAGCGATGCTATAGGTACCACGGTGTTTCATCTCAAACCATATTACAGAAGTATACTAGGAAAAATGGATGGTACTGCCACAAAAACAATGTGTAGCTAGAATAATAGAATGGAGACTCAGGCCAACCGTGATGCATATTTGTCATCTCGGACCTCAGGAGGTCACGGCAGAAGGATTGCCATGGTTTGAAGGTAGCCTGAACTACTTAAACACAGGAACAAATAGGAAGCCAGGCATAATGGTGTTCTGTTGTCATCCCAGCATTCTGTAGGCTCAGGCAGAAGGAAGGCCTGGTCACCAGCCAACAAACCACATACAGCTATAGTCACCTAATCTTTGACAAGGATGTCAAGAATATACATGGGGGAAAAGGCGGCATCTTCAAAACATTGTGCTTGGGAAACTGGGTGTCCACATCTAAAAGGATATAACCAGACCCTTACCTATATATCTATATTATTCAAAATGGATCAAAGACCTTAATGTCTGACACTCTCAAACTGCTGTAGGAAAGCACAGGCACATACTTTGTGCAAAGGAAAACATAGGAAATAATCCTAAGAATTAACAGGCGGGATTTTATCAACAGAGTGAAGAGATAGCCTATAGGATAAGAAACATATTTGCCAGCTGTGCATCCAGCAGGGATTGATATCTAGAATCTGTACAAAATTAACAACAAAAAAACCCTCATCTAAATAATTAATGGGGGTAATGAATTGAATGGGCGTACCTTACCTCAAAGGAAGAACTGCCAATAAATAATTAGAAAAGTGTTCAACGTTCTTAGCCATAAGACAAATGCAAACTAAAACTGCCTTGATTTTATCTCACCCCAGTCAAAATGGCTATCATCAAGAAAACAAATGACAATAGCCTGATGTGATGACTCACACTTTTTAATTCTGTCACCTGAGAGGCACAGAGGTGGGAGGATCTCCATGAGTTTGAGGTCAGTCTGGGCTATGGAGTGAAACCGTGCCTCAAATAAAGGACAAATACAAAGGTGTGTACAAAAAAGAGAGAGAGAGAGAGAGAGAGAGACGTGTACAAACTCTTATATATTGCTGGTGGGAATGTAAATTTGTGTAGCCACTATGGAAATCAGTATGGAGGTTCCTGAAAACTAATACTTTTGTATGCATTGTCTAGCACTTAGCAGTAATACTCCTGAGTATATATTCAGAGGATTCTAAGTCAGCCTTCCACAGGTCTCATGTTTATTGCCGCCAGCCTAAGTGTCCATTAATAGATAGGAAAATAAGGGCATTACAGCACATACATGCCCTTAATCCCCACGCTGCAAGGCAGGCAGATCTCTAGAGTTAGAAGCCAACCTCAAATATAAATAGGGTGTTGCAGGACAACCTTGTGGAATGATGGAAACAATGACAAAAAAGGTTTGTCCATTGCAGGTTATAATAAGGTTGGGGGCATGAGGCGGTGCAGGGGGAGCTGATCTGGGTAAGGGAAAGGAAAGATGACAGAGGAGGAGGCGACAGAGAGCTAGAAAAAGAGGAAAGCAACAAGACCCCTGAGTGGTTTCAGTGATGTTGCTGCAAAGCCTGGTGTCTTCAAGGAATGCAGTCACTTCCCTTCCCATTACCCTGCACTACAAGTGAGTCTGCATTTTAACCCTTTCCAGTGTAAATGAGTTTTGTGGCATTTTTATGCTTCAAAAATAGATCAAATGCAGTTCTAGTTCTCATTTGTTTTTTAGAACTGGAGGTTTCAAATGTAATCTTTCCATTGTGGATGTCACTGTAGGTAGCTGGTGATAGATGAAGCTTCATGTTAGCTCTGCTAAACACTAGGCCTGAGCTGTGACAAAGCCAACCTTCAGAGTTCTTTCACTGTGGGCTGCCTTGGGCAGATCTAGAGCCTTGGTCTATCTCTGCTTTCTATTTTATAGATGTAAAATGTAGTAATTTCTCCTTTCTATGATATGATGAATGGTGAGATGTGGTAAATGGAGAGAGTAAGAGAAACTTCACTAAGAATCTTACAGAAACCAGGCTGGGGAGATGACTCAGGGGATTCAAACACTTGCCAAGCAGAGTGTGAGAGGACTGGAGTTTGGATCCCCAGGACTCAAAGAAGCCAAGCATGTGTGCTTGTAATCCCAGCACTTGGGGTAGAGACAGGATCCCCAGGGCAAGCTGGCCAGCTAGACTAGTCAGACTCATAAACTCTTGGTTCAGCAAGAGACCTTGCCTCAGTAAATAAAGGACTGAGCAATTGAGGACAAGAGGTCAGCCTTGGGACTTCATATGCATGTGTGCACACGCTTTCATACACGTGCATCCACACACATGTGAACTTGCACAATACAAAAATTCACAGAAATGGATTCTTTAAAGAATGACTAATGACATATAATTTCTATACATTTTCAGAGCATTTGTGAAGTGTGTGTGTGTGTGTGTGTGTGTGTGTGTGAAGTAGTTTGGAATGCCCGCCATATGCCACAACTTTTTGTTACTTAGCATATTTTCCCTGTGAGTGATGTCTGGTGGTAATATAAAGTTCAAATGAAGATTTACAAATTATTCTCAAGAAGCTCTTATCTGTGTCAGCTATAGATAGTAGGCCCTAATATACCCAATGAAATCCCTTACAAACTTGTGATGCTCAGTCCCAGCAGCTGTCATAGTCACTAGAGTTGTTGTGAACAGTGCTTTGGCTTAATGTTTCATGAAGACTCTCCCCTGTGTGTTAATAGTGAAGGTGGCCAGTGTCTTCAGATTAACATTCAAGAATACTTAGAAAATGTTTATGTGAACATTTTTTTTTTAATTTCTAAATTCACCATTTTGATATAAATACCCATGGTTTTCTTCTGTGTTTACATGCAGCCAGGAGCTATGGGCGGAGACGAGGTAATTTTTTTTTTTAATGAGATCTTTTGCTTGCCAAACTGTGAGTAAGTATGAGTATGTGCGTGTTTATGCCTGTGTGTATAAGACAGTAATTATTGTATGGTCTGATGTTCTAGCTTAATTATTTTAGAAAAGTAATTCTTTATTACTTTTATTATAATTATTGGTAATTTGTTCTTTTAATCATAATAAAGCTATAGCAAAGACAACTTCATCTGGGAGTTTTTTTAGTTTAAATTTTTGTGACTGAGCATGAGGAAATAAAGGCCAAGTGTATATATTTTTTTGACCCTATATTTCTGTGTTGTTTTCATATGATTTAGAGGGTAAATACTCATTTGGGGGAACAGCTTTTGATTTTACTAAGTTGTCTGGTGATTATCTTTTCTGTTGCATCCAAAGGCAAGCTTACATTTTAGGGCCCTTTCCAAGATCTTTACTATAATATTATAATCTGTGTGTGTGTTTCTTTAAAGAGGTGCCACAAATTTGCTTTAGTCCCTTAAAACCTAACCTAATTTAGTATAACTTTCATTTGTGTAATGCTGTACCCCTTGAGTATTTCCACATCTGTAACTATTTACAAATGGTTTGAAGAGTAGCAATAAGAAGCCTAGCCAATGGGAAAGGTGGGATTTAGGGCGAGTACCTGGGCTGTTCTCACAGCCTGTGACTTAGAGCTGGCTTCCTCATCTGCAAATTATGAGGCAATAGAACCAATCTTGTCCAGCTTCATAATGTCCAAAGTCTAGTTTTAAGAAAAGGTGTACATGTCCAACAAGCATTCCACAAATGTAAGATCTGTCTGCTGCTTGCTGTGTAACTTCAGGTTAAAGCTAGAGCCAGTATTAGAATCTGTCTCTTTGTTTTGTATTTGCTAATGTTTACCTTTTATCAGAATGTCTCTGACTTTGGTTGTTACAAAGAGAAAATACTAAATTGTTAGTATTATTTATTACACCTAAATATTAGATAAATGAATATTGGCTGGATTAATGTATGTATGATAAAACATTAATTATAACCATTTTACTTTGGGGAAATTAATTTTGTATATTTTTGGTGTAAATAACTTTTATTTTTATAAATTTTATCTATACAACATAACTGCTTTCCTTTAGAACAAGAAAAATTATAGATGATAGATAATTACTTTTTTGTCAGAATTTTTTTTCAAGCAAGGTAGTAAACATGATCACTTGCATTTAAAATAATATGGTGACAAACATTGGATAGTAATATTTTTATGGGTACCTTAATCATAAAGGTGAAGACCTTTGATCACATCTCCTGTCTTTATCTCATTTATTATATTGTATCACTATACCATTTTGCATAATACTTGTTTCATACTGGTAGAAGATGCAGACAGGAGTAGAGAATAAGCATTGTCTATAGGAAGTAGGAACCTCCTGACAGTAGACAGGAGGGATGGCCCTTTCCTCAGGCATGAATCGGTCACTTGTCAAGACTCGCCTCTGGTTTCTTAGGCTTGCCCTTCATCTCAATTGCTCTCATTTTTGCTACTCCATCTTTATGAAACATCACTTGATCTCTGTAATTCTCACTCGCCACTAGTGGTACTTGTGATCTATTCCTCCCTATCTCACCAGCCGCAGCAGCATCTCTTCCCACTCCATCTTCCTCTGCTCATTCTATGTGCTTTGCTCTCCTCTGGTCATTGCCAAGCACTGACCACTCATCCACTCTTCTAAATCTTACTTCACTAGTGTGAACCAAATTCAAGCCTTTTTTAATTTTTAAAAATGGTTGTGTGTATTGGCGTGCACGCATGTGTGTGTGTGCGCGCATGTGTGACATCCTATGTGGGCCTGGTACCTAGAGAGGCCAGAAGAGAGCATCTGATCCCCTGAAACTGGAGTTTGAGATGGTAACGAGCTTCTGGGAATCAAACCTGGGTCCTTGGCAAGAACAGCAAGTGATCTTAACTACTACTGAGCCATCTCTCTAACCCTGGCAAGAGTTATCCTTTCTAAGAAGCCCTGCCTGGTGGCCTCATAGGCAGTATTTTCTTCTGTGTTCTACTACCTTGTATTCTTCCTGTCTTTCGTTTGTACCCCGATTCTTCAGTTGAAGATAGTTTATTTGAGGATGATTGTGACTTGTGCCTAACACGACGCTCTGTGAATAGTCATATTAAATATGTATCAATTAGGATTATTTTGAAATAACACTCATCTATGCAGAAGAGTTTGCTTTATATTTCTTATTAGCTGGTGGAAATAATGTTATTTGCTTATAGTCCTGGCCACTCAGAAGGCTGAGGGTCACTTGACCTAGGAGTTTTAGGTTAGCCAAGGAGCATTATCTTTCAGGAATACTCTTCTTCTAACAAGTTTAATGTGTGCTCCCCTGTTAGATAGAGCCATGTAAGATCTTTGCTTGTACCCTTTCTCTTTTTCCTTCCTTCCTTCTTTCCTCCCCCGCCTTCATTTTTTTTTTTTTTTTTTTTTTTTTTTTTTTGTAGCCCTTAGCCTGGTATTCACTGTATAGCCCAAGGGTTTCTTCAGACTTACAGCAATGCTCTCTCTTCACTTTCTCCAGGGTTGAGCTTGTAGGCAGGCGCTAACGTTACTGGCAGCTTCCACATTTATTTAGTGTTGTAATTTTAAATTTGACATGGATATGTAATTTTCAGGGCCCACAAAGACATTTTTTTCTACAAATAGACAGATTAATTATGCCGTGGTGGGGGGGCTGGGTTGCTGCTGGTGACTGAACCCTAGTTTTCATACATGCTAAACATGTGTTCTACCATTGAGCTGTACGTCCAGGTCTACATCAGTATTCTTGATGTTTAATAAAACTTCTTGGTTATACAGCAGCAAGGAAAATCCAAAAATATCTATTTGAACAGTATAGATAAGCAAATACAAAGAGCCAAAGAGTGGTTGGAGTTACTATTGTAAATGTGTAGGTCATAAGCATGTATGTTCACTAATGGATAACTTAATTGATTCCATAGTTGTAAAGTTCAGTAAAGTTGGGTTCATGAGTTGATGTCATCTTTCTGTGGCAGGCCAAGTCCAAGAGGGCCTTGCAACTGTGCTGGTGAGACCATGGTACCAGCCTGGCATTCTGCTAGTGCAAGCTGAGTCTTCTGAGCTTGTCTATTGAAGATGCAAATAAATGGTTCTGGAGTGGAAAATAGACGAGTTGGATTTAATGTTTGTGATTGTAGTATCTTGATTGCTATTGGTCAGTATAGTAATGGGAAAATATGAACAGAGAGAGAGAGTGAGAGGTATCAGATTACTTGTTTTGCACTATTCTGAGAAATTGGTGTGGGAGGATCCAGAAGGAAGAATGAAAATGGAGTTCTGGGCCTTCCACTCTGTTTATTATGGCTACCTGGTTCTAGACTCCAGGCATGGTCTCTCACTTTGTTCAGAGCTTGCTCTAGATAGGGCAGAGGTGATAAATAAATGAGACAACCAGGGGTTGGTGAGGTGACTTGGTGGGTAAGTCTGGTGTGCTGAGTTCAATTCCCAGACCCTGCATGAAGATGGGAAAAGAGAAGCAACTGCACTGATTGTCCCGTCTTCACATGTGCACCATAACCAGGAGCCCGCAAAACACAGTAATGAAAATAAAGTAACTTTTTACAAGCCCAGGCGTGGTGCTGTAAGCTTGTAACTCTAGAACTTGGTGGGTAGAGGCAGAAGGATTAGGAGTTCGAGGGCAGCCTTGGCTACTTAGTGAATTCCAGGCCAGCCCGAGCTGTACGAAACTTTATCTCTCTGCTGTTCTGTTTTTTAGTCCCATGCTGGTACCATGGTTTTCCCACACAGCTGCTAGGCCCTCTGGGAGCTGGCCTGCCTCAGGAAAGAAGGAGTGGGCGGTTCCTATCTCAGTGGTGGAGGCCAGGTGACATTCAAAATGAAACACAAAGGACAAGGGGATGCCTGCCGCTGTTTGTTGAGATAGGGTCTTACTACTTGTTATAGGCTAGCTTCGAACTTAGGGCTTTCCGGTCTCCAGTCTCTAACCTAGAGTGTTAGGATTGCAGACATATACCACCATGCATGGCTTTTCATTTTTGAATTATGAAAAATTTCAAACTTATAAAAATAATGGAGTAGTTTAATTAGAGTTCTCCTCTGGCCTCTGCAGGCAGCAGTCATGCATGTATTGCCCATATATACATCCGGTAAAACACACATAAAAATAAAAATAAATGAATCTTTGTTTGAAAAGTGAAGGTAGGAGAAATGGCTTGTGCAAAAGGCTTTTTGCAGAGTAGTAATGCACGATACAGTATATGTATAAATCTTGAAAATATTACAGCGTTCCACTCATCGGAAATCCAGAATAGGAACGTCTGCTGAGATACTCAGAAGAATAGTATAGTTTAAAACTAAGTAGTTGAGGGAAGATGGAATGTGACTTGTAATTGGCTAAATGTTTGAATTTTTATGACGTATGAATTATATTTCAATAAAACTTGTCTTTAGAAGGACTAGAGGAAATGGTTTGGAGGGAGGTCTGCTTTTACTGGCCTTTTACTTCCCAAGTATGGAAGGAAATCATGGCAGGGCCTAGTGGTTGCATTTATGTTTCAAAAACACCACACTGCTGCTCGAAGAGGAACGGGAATGGACGAGGGTTGCCTAGTTAGAAGATGTCAAGATAACAAGGAATGGTGTGAGTTAGGTTAGCGCGATGGATGGCAGTGAGGCTGCAGAGAAATTAAGAATGATGGAGAGAAGCGGCAACAGAATTGGAAGGGTGATGTCATGCCCATGAATCAAATGTGGCAAGTAACTCGGAAGGTGACCTTGGTGGTGTTGGGTTTTTGGTGAAAGCTGTGGGGGGTGAATGGCAATGGCATGACTTGAAATGTCAGTGTGAGATAGAAGTTTAGGGGAGATAGTTTACTTGTAACGAGGATGTGTTGGCACACACCTTTAATCTTAACATATGCAGGAGGCAGAGACAGCGGCAGGCAGATCTGAGTTTGAGGACAGCAGTCTGTGAAG